TACCTTTTACCATTACATCCCCCCATTTCTTTTCCATGCCTTTTCCATGTGAAATATAGTGGAGGGGTTAAAGTGGCCAAAAGGAATGAGTATTTTTACAGCATCTATATTGAGTAGAACAGAAAGAACAATACATTTTACAGCCACATTATATATACTGCAAACCTAAAGAGAAACACAAAAAAAAAATTAAATACCTACGACAACAACTTGTGTTCTAAATTAACTAGTCTACTTGAGCAACAGATTGTGCTTGTTTGTGTATAATAGCAATATCGAGTTGTATGGGAGAGATATCTTTTACTGCCATAACATTCCATTGCTTTACATGGTTAACACAATCAAATGCATTTCTTTAATCAATGAAGTACTTGGCTTCTGTTTTTGTATTCTTTGGCTTTTTCAATTACCTATAACGCATCATGATTAATGACCCTTGTTCCTTGGCCTTTTCTAAAATCAGCTTGAACATCTGGCATTTTTCTTTCTATGCAGGGCTCTAATCCCTAACGGATGATCCTAAGCATTGTTTTTCCAGGATGTGAAATTAAGGATTTTATACAATAGTCTGCATACTTTAAGTCTTCTTTCTTTCATATTGGAATGTAGGTTAACCTCTTCTAATCTGTTGAATACTGTATCATTCTCATTCTCTGGATTTGCTGGTTATTGTTAGAATCTTTACTGATTACCCTTCTTGACATGTTTCTGCAAATAATACATTAGTTTATTTATTTATTTTTTATTTATCATTAACTTATATGCCGCCCTTCTCCCCATGGGACTCAGGGCGGCTCACAGCATGTTAAAAAATACAAAAACATTTCCCCTATAAAAGCCAATTAAAAACCAAATATTTATAGCTGTGTCTTGTTAAAATCATTAAAATTGTCCCTACTTAAAAATCACCCTAGGTCAGTCCCGCTTGCTGAAAAAGCCATGTCTTGAGGGCGCGGCGGAAAGTTAGGAGATCCGGAATCGTCCGGATCTCGGGGGGTAGTTCGTTCCAGAGGGTGGGGGCACCCACAGAGAAGGCCCTCCCCCTGGGGGTCGCCAGC